GGTCCGTACCGTAAGTTATGGATCCTCGTTTTTTCCACTTTTTTATGGCCCGCGCGCTACGCGCTTAGGCCATAAGGCAGTGGAAAAAACTCGGTCCATAACTTACCGTACAGACCTCGCACTCGGTTAATAAGAGCTATGTATGGAAGCTGAAAATATAAAATGACTAGTGCTCGTAAACTTGAACAGCCTAGCTTGTTCATGTCAGATATCACACAAAGATATCAAGCATCCAAGACAACTACGTCATTATTTGTGGGTTAAAATTGAACCAGGAATATTTTTCCMTTTAGTCGACTATCATGTCGATCATCATTAATCATAAATCTAATAAACATAAGTAGACTAAAAATAGAAATGGAAGCTTTAGTATTTAAAAACGCACGTTGGTTATAAGTGGTCCACTTTGGCAATTAATCCGTGATCTGTATTTACATGCTGAGGAAAAGGATTTTGATCGTAATTTTGCCACGTTTTTATTCTAAAAGCATAATATTCCATTTGTTTAGTCTACTTGTGCTTATTAGATTTACAAGTAAGACTTATTTTTTAGTCTTCTTATGTTTACAATTAAGATTTAGTTAACACTTCGAAATTCAATTTTTAAAATGTAACTATAATTAGAGTAAGAGTGTAATAAACGATCGATATTACTTCTAAGGTAATAAAAAAGGAATGAATAAAWAAGAGAAAGAAAGAAAAACAATGGACTTAATAAAGACTTAATAAACGGGAAGTGATATTGGTCGCTAATGAACGCATGAAATACTTCTCGTTGCTACTTGATTAACCTCAGGGAAAATTGTTCAAAATCACATTCACTGGCAAGCCAGACGGTCTTTGATCGAGCGCTTCGTTCAGAAACGACCAAATTGCAGTCTTCACAAAGCAAGGTAGCTTGACGAAGGCRTAATGGAAAGACAACTTAAAGATTTATCAGTAGAGGGTGTAAAAACTCGCAAGAAACCTGACAAGCATATAGTAAGTTGTGACAAACTTAAACCCCTTCCTTTCTAATTGAATATTATATTTATCTTTATATGAGTTGCATGAGAAAGAACACAAGAACAATTTCTTTAAAGTTTACTCTAAAAGGCCAGCTGTAGTCTGAAGTTCGAAAGATAGCTTCTTGCAACGTTTCCTGGTTTCCTTAGATAAGTTTAATATCATCAATTGAATGAGTGTCATTTCTGTCGGGTTACGCTTAAAGTGCCTATCACCCTTCTGACAATATTCTCAGTATTGATTCTACATGGGGTAAGATGTTCAATAACCAGAAAAAATTACATAGTTTGAGTGCGGCTTCTTGAAGTTATAAAGGTTTTTCCATGCCATATGCTAATGCTGTGACGTATGAGGAGTAATCATTTAATATACAAAACCTTACTGGTACAGATAAATTAAATTTGAAATCCGTCATTGTTTTCCCCATTGCTCTTATAGAAATGGTTGCAAGTTAGTTTTCCCATAGAAGCCGGTGTTTCGAATTACGAGGAACAACAAATAACCATAAATGCCTCCTCATACGTCACAGCATCAGCATATGACATGGAAAAACCTTCATAACTTCAAGAAGCCGCACCCAAACTATGTAATTTTTTCGGGTTATTCAACATCTTACCCCATGTAGAATCAATACTGAGAATATTGTCAGAAGGTTGATAGGCACTTTAACGTTAACCATGACGTGTGTTGACAGCGACAATAGTTTTGCTAACGGCTTTGAAAGGGGAAAGAATAGCAATAATAACGAGGGTCAACTAATTTGTGTTAGGCTGGTATGTATTTCTCGGGTTTATGAAAACCCCTCTMATAATAATAATAACAATAATAATAGTATCAATAATATGATCACTTTAAATAATAAAACCGCAAACATTGGTGAAACAGTACAATTTCTAATAAGCACGAAATAGCCTAGTYCTTTCTTTATTCATCGTTGTTTCTTTAGTACTATTTAGTATTAATTATTTATTTCTGAATATCATGAAATAAAAAAGAAACCAATAGTAGTAAAATATACAACTTAATTTTAATCTTTAAAAAAGCTCATGTTGCTCTCGGATGTGAGATACTGATCATCGTAACGCGGTCGTGATGCTTTCCGGTTCCTGTATATATTTTTTTGGACAAGAAAAAAAAGCACTTGAGAGAAGTAAAATAAAAGCTCCTATTGTATGTTARTGCCACTTATTCTTTAAATAATCGTTGAATCATGTGATATATGATGATGTGATGTGAATAGTAATCTAAGCYATTAGCACTATAAATCTTAAAGGTTCTACACTAGTGAGCCGAACTCGAATCAAGCTCGAACAAACTAACGCCGGTTGGCATGATATAGGACTGCCGGATAAATTATTCTTGTCTATCGCTGCACGAAGTATGCATTCAAAATATGTTAGATGGCTTTCACGGTATCCATTTTCTATGCAAGACATGGATCGAAGTGTACTTTTTTGGGAGATAAAATCCCTTGTCGTGGRAAGGTATTCCATCGTTCCTGCCCATACAACATGACTGCCATGTATGATGACGCCATGAAAATTTTATTGAGGTCCTTTTGTTGACATCATTCAAAATCCTTCAATCTTGAAAAAAAAATTAATTATTGGTCTAAGTATTTGCTTAACGGCTGAGCTACTTTTTAAGAAATTAACTGCAGGCATGATAGCGATCGTGCTATTAGACACGTTGTTGATTAGCCTGCGTCACATCCGGAATTTTCTTCGTAAATACKGTATTTACGAAGAAAATTCCGAATGTGACGCAGGCTAGTTGTTGATGAGAACCAGAAAAAATTTGAGCTCAATAATTTAAAAAAATCAAATAGGAAACTAAAGGAACTCTGGACATTACTTTATTAGAAAATGGAGGGAAAAAACTTGGCCGAGTTGTCTTTGCAGTGCATTTTGGGTCTCTTTCAATTTTGGGGACGAAAAAGACGCCATCTTGGAAAAACTAATCCTAAAACATCCTAAAACATGCAGCCCAACAAAACACTGCTATGCCAATTTGACCCCTGCTTAATATAGACACCCCCTACTATTACTGGCCCTTCGTTTGGGATAATAAACCTCAGGAAAGAAAATATATATTGGACTGCCAAGAAAACCTATTTTGGGGAATGAAAACTGTCCCAAATTTGAAATTAATATATAAGACTCAAAACTTTTTAAAATGTTTTCCTCCAGGTGTTCGCGGTAAAAGTCACGTGGTCAGATGGGCAGGTCAATGTAGTGTCCAGAAGATACRGCGAGTTTTTCGAGTTAATGGTACGATACATATAGTATTTTAATCTATAATACGCATCGATGAAATAACTATTTTTCTCCATAACTAAGAAGTGAYAATATCTTCACATGTGAAGATATTACAAGTTATTTTCAGATGTGAAAATGTTAATATTTTATTTTCACATGTGATAATAACTCCATTGGTAAGAATTCTAAGGAATCGCAATAAATAGTAAAAAACTAAATTTGTATTAAACAGAATATTAAATGGCCGCTTGGAGATACGGATTGTATCTTGTGCTCACTCGAAAGATATTCCCTTAACACTTGAAAATAAAATCCGTATCTCCAAGCGCCCATGTAATATCCTCTATTTTTTTACTTCTTTGTAAGGAACTTTGTTAACATTATTGTATTACTGGTTTTCTACAGGAAAGACTCAACGAGACGTTTCCTGTAGAAGCAGGCAAGCATGAAAATCACCAAAGGATCCTTCCAAATTTACATGGTAAAAATGGCCAATCATAAGAAAAGCGCTAAGCATCACAAATGTTTGATGTCATTATGAAAGTCAAATCATTGTTAACATTAACTATRATTTGACGTCAATTTACTATGGTCAAATGCATTTCAAACTGGGAARAATATATCATAGCATTCTAAAATATTATGGAAAAAAATTATTAAATTTTAATCAACTGTTTTCTTTTATTCAGCCAAAAAGACCTTTCTAGTGAACYCAAGCGTAATGAAGCAGCTTGAACRCATAACAGATTTTACAAAGGTGAGTAGCCTATTTTCATTGCTATGCGCTGATCGAGACACCGGTCGCAACATGGTGAAATCGTTTGCTTCATGCATGGTATACTGGAGTTCCTGTGGAATAAGCGGGAATATTCAGCCAGGACGCGCACGCTCTCTTTCGGTTTCCTTTTGTTGTTCTTCTTTCAACTCAATAACTTGGTAAATCAAGTTTCGACAACATACATTAAAGAAAAAATCGTCRCAATAGCACACAAAAAACAGTTCAATTTATTTTTTTCTAACAAGCTTCCGTATTCTTCAGGAATTGGTACAACTGCCTGACCACATTTCCCAGTGCTATGTAGTTCGTAACTTCTTCACACCCACAGAAGTGGACATTGAATCTACTCGCAGGTGAGAAAAGTCTACTTCAARCTATAAATCTCATAGTGAGACGGAACATTGTCTGGCGCTACTCGYGGTCATAATTAAGAGTATGGAAAAGTTGGTGCAATCTACCAGCAAGGCTAGAGGACCGCAGTTTGATCCACACTGCTTTTCTCTGATTCGTAAAGATTACGCATTAAATRCCATTGAAACAATTTATTAGCCTTGATATAGAGAGGATAAAGGGTGCGCCGTTTTAGGGCAACGCTCGTAGCTAAAGGAAATACTTCTTCGTGCTTACTTTATTCTCGTGTACCTGTTTCAAYTCAGATTAGAAAATACTTTACGGAACGACGACTAGTGAATTGTCTGTYCGATTCTTGTAGCAGACAGTTTATTATGTCTTTTTGAGTTGCAGATTRTCAATACAAAAGCCAAAGACGAAGCCGAGAAATTGGCGTCGAAAAAATACTGCAAAAAGTAAATAATAATTTTAATTCAAATTTTAACTATAAATATCAATAATATATTCCTATAACCTGTTTTGTTTTTTCTTTGAAAAAAAAAACACGATATAACATGATGCAGGGATAAACACTACCAATAATTTGTGTTCAAAGTCACCTGAATCTTTTAAGACAAATATTAAAATATTGATATTTTTTATGCGCAGAAGTCCTAAGCATCAGTGGACCTTTGTCCCTGGAACAATACCGTGTTATAGCTGATATAGAAGAATGTAAAAYAGGAGGACTGGAATTGAAAGAAGGACAAATAGTGGAGGTTGTTGAAAAAATGGAAAATGGTAAGTGTTGTGAACGTAGCAAAAATTTCAAACTTTGTCCTGTGACCTTTGTTCCGGCATCAAATTGGAATATCAAAGTTGATTTTTGCTTAGGGACTAGGAAAACCAGAGAACCAGTATATGAGAAACAACAAGCAACTACAGTATTGAAGCAAACATTGTCCCATCTTGTGAAAATATATTAATATATAGTCGTTTTACGAGGATACACTAGCTTAATAGCCATGGCCATGGGCCTGAAAACTGACCTGTGACCCCGATTTCATGAAATTGGAATATAGGAGTAGAATTTTACAGAGGGAGGAAAGCCGAAGAAAACCAACACTCGAGAGAATTATATCACATTTGACAGCGAGTTAGAGGRTCGAGTCCACGACCATCAAAATGAGAGGTGCGGTGCCATTAGTAGCATGGAACTGTCCCAATCTTTKCTGTAGACATTAAAGACTTCACTTTTTTCCGTAGGTTGGTGGCTGGTTACTGCAGATGGCGAGCAAGGCTGGGTACCAGCTTCGTATCTTATTAACGAACATGATTCCGAGGAAACCTTGACAATCAAATACCAGCCTGGTCAAGGTACAAGGTACACTAAACTAAGACTAAATGCTACTGTAYCTTGAACTATTTATTTTATTTTAGGAGAATACTATGTTACGAACAAATCATATACAGCCAAGTTTAAAGATGAGATAAGCTTTGATATTGGTGTTCATCTACAAGTGATTGAGAAGAATCTAGATGGTTGGTGGAGAGTGATGTAAGTAGACGAGGTCTCTTCTTTAGTTTAAGTACTTATCTGATAGAAACGTAGGGGTAACCCCAATAAAACTACAAAGAGTAGAGACTCTTTTGTATAAAATACATACCTCCATACATACATACGTACATACATACCTGCATACATACATACTTATAAAGCTCATAATAATTAATGAGGAAAACACAATAGAAATCATTGTCCGTGGAGGAGGCTGTATATCTGATACAAAATCGTCCTGATTTGCATAAACTTTAACTCCAATTTTCTTAGCCAAATTCAATTTTATCTTTAAAATTATAGTAGAACATGAATGTATACACCTAGACGTTTCATAAGTAATATACAATATTCGTGTCCGTGTTGTATCAGATATACAATCACTCGCCTTCGAATCGTGGTTGTATATCTGATACAACACGGCCACTCATATTGTATATATTACATACA